ATGAATAATAAGTCACTTGAATCCCAGTCTGACTAAAAATCCCATTAAAAAGGCATCCTTTCAAAATAGCATCAAAATAAGCATCACCAAATCAATGGAATCTAAAATGATGCGTTAAGTTCGACTCAGGCGACATCTACGCGATACAAATTAAAATCGCGGAGTTGGGGACGCTGGTCGGGAGAAATTAGCTAAAACTTGGCTCGGGAAAGCTTAAAACTTGAACGATTTTTCATGAAAAAAATTCCTGCGAATATTATGAAATGATTCACCAGTACTTTGAATAAGTCATTCTCCAAAATTATGAGTCAAACATCAAATTCTCTCTTTTCACATTTAAAAAAATGCAACTAGAACAAAATATTTTTCAGCTTCTTAATACACATTTGTTTCATGGATGACACAAGTTACATTTCATGTTCAATTCTGAATTTTGCGCAAAATTTTTTACGCAAGTGAGTTTTGTAAATTGAAAGTTTGCAAAATTTTTAAAAGCACAATATTATTACAGCAAATTAACATTGCCCTGAAATTTAAATTTTTCAGGGCAGTAATGTCATACTTACTATAAAGATTATTAAATGTGTTTCGTTTTTTGTAGATGATATTGTATAAAAATTGAATACAATTTAAATATTTTGGCCAGTTTTGATCAAATGAATTTCCCACCAAATGCTTTTGATTTTTTTTATGAGTCTTCTGTGACAATTTAACCTGCTAAAAAAAATGCCACCCTATAGTTGATTTTTATTCACAGTGAGATAAATTAGAAAAATTGTGTGATCAATTCGTATTCAAAAACTAAGGTGGAACTAATTAAAAAATTTATAATGTAGTGGAGGTCGCTCAAGAGGCGGCGGTGGCGGCGGCAGCAGCAGCAGCAGCAGCGGCAGTGGTAGCTTTGGCGGAGGCGGCGGTCAAAGAGGCGGTGGCGGCGGCGGCGGTGGTGGATACGGAGGTGGCGGAGGACAAAGAGGCGGTGGTGGCGGCGGCGGACAGAGAGGTGGCGGCGGAGGACTGTCACAAGGCGGCGGCGGCGGCTACGGAGGCGGCGGAGGACAAAAGGGCGGCGGCTTCGGAGGCGGCCAAAGCGGCGGCTTCGGTGGTGGACAAAAAGGCGGTTTCGGAGGCGGACAAAGCGGCGGCTTCGGAGGTGGCGGAGCACAAAAGGGCGGCTTTGGAGGCGGCCAAAGCGGCGGCTTCGGAGGTGGCGGAGCACAAAAGGGCGGCTTCGGTGGCGGCCAAAGCGGCGGTTTTGGAGGACAAAAGGGCGGCCAAGGCGGCGGCTTCGGTGGCGGCGGCCAGCAGCAATCGAAAGGCGGACGTGGTGGAGG